GAAAGAACGAAAATTTATCCTTAATTTTGAAATATATCAAATTTTGTATGCATTTATATTTTTTAGGATGAATATTTTTAATAATAAAAAAAATATGCAAAATTAAGAATAAATAAAATTATTTCATTCAAATAAACAATTGCAAAATATTAATAGTGCAACGATTATATTTTTATACAAGTTTTGAAAATAATTCAGTTAGATATTTGTATATTCAAAATACGATTTTAAATTTATAATATATATTAGGTCATTTATGTACGTTAACAAATAAAAATAAAAATCCGGAGTAGTGTTATACAAAAGTTTCCATATAACATATTAAAAATATATGTGAGAAAAAAAATATTGTACATATTTTAATATGGTTAAAAAATTATTAATGTTCATTGTTAAATAGGGATGATTTGTAATTTATTTTGCATTGAATAGGTAAAATGTGACCCTTAATTTAACATAGCGGATTGCCAAACTGAAGTTGGTTTGAGTGATATATCCTTGATTTTGTTTAAACAATGTTTCAAGTTAAGAGAACACAAATTTTGAAAAAATGAGTCTCAATGTTTTCGGCTCTTAGGAGAATTGCTTTCTATAAATAATACATGTGACTAGATCAACACAATTTAACACAGTAAATTTACCAACATGCATGTACATTAGAAAAGTTTAAAATATAGACATCAGTTTCGAACCTGAACCTTCTTCAATATTATTTAAATTATAATAAAGTTAAATTAAGGTATTTAACTAATTTAATTCTAAAGTTAACCTTCTTTAATAGTATTTAAATTATAATAAAAGTAAATCATAAAATTAAACTATGATATTTAGTTAATTTAATCCTTAAATTTCTTACTTATTTAAGGTTCTTTAACTCACTTTTAGGAACCATTTGATTTAAAATGTGTTTAATTATAATCTGTAAGAAGGGGTTTCTTCTTCCTCAGTACATACGTTTTTGCGTATTAGGCAGTTGAGAGCACACGGTTACTTCATTCATATAAAGTCAATGCCTATTTTTTATTTCGTTCTATATGATCTACGAAGCTTCGTCGAATGCTGAAAGATTATTTTATCATGCGTACCCCATTTTATTATTTTTTGAGTCAAAGATTATTCAAACAGGTATGTAGTTCAAAATATTTTTTAAATATTATATATATAACTTTTTTTTTAAAAAAGGATTTACTTATTTTAAGAGTAAGTTTAGCTAATTTACTTAATATTTTTTATAATTATTAAATTTTATTAATTACCTATTAAATTATAGTATATTCTTTATGATCAATTATATCAAATTTTAAATTAATTTAATATTTATAAGAATATAATTTTATAGTTAATATTGTTTTATATTTTAAAACTTTATATAATACGTTAAATCAAGTTGTTTGATGAAATGTTTATTTTATACGCTAATATAATTGTGTATATTTATAAAATTGATATAAATAATAAATAATTAAGTTCTTTAAGTATATTAATTATGAAAACATATTTTTTTTATAATATATTTGTTTTAAAAAATAAATTTTAAATATAAAATTAATTATTTTAGTCCCTTGAATTATCAAATCAGTCATTTTAATATCTAAAATTATAAATATCTAACAATTTAGTTCATGAAATTACGTTAAAAAAAAAAAAACACCTTAAGAAATAAGATATTAGTCATTTTAATTTATAAAATTATAGGAACCATTTAATTTAGTCCTTTAAATTATAAAATAGAAGTTTTACTACCTCAGAAAATAACCAGCTTAATTCCAACTTATAACTAATTATTAATTTTGTTTTTAAAATTATGACAACAAACTTTTAGTTTCTAAAATTATAAAAAAAATAAATTTTAGTCATTTTAACTGACTAGTTTAGTAGATTGTGAAATGTAAATATGTTTTAATTTATAATATATATATATATATATATATAATAATTAAATATAAAAATAGAAAAAAGAATAAGATAATTTTTATAATATAAAAAATTATTAAAAAAATATAAATTTATATAAGTTGATAAAGGAAAGTTAAGTAATAACTTCAATCTCCTAAATTTAGAATAAAATTAACAAAATGTGGGTAAAAAGGAAAATCATTATAACAAAAAATGTTGTAATTTATACATCATTTTCAAAAACTGTAATAAAAATTAACTTCACTGATAACTCACTTATCAAAATAATAGATTTTTTATTTATAATATATATATTTTTTTTAAAAAAAACATGTATTGCTAGTATTTTTTATTTAATTTTTGTCAATTTTTTTGACAATGTGTTTAGATACAATAAATTAAGTATTAACATGATATTTATGAGTATCCTTGTTATTAAATGATATAATTTTGTTTCATAATTTAAAAGACTAAATTGTATGATATTTAAAAATTTTAAAAATTAAAATGAATTTTTTTTATAATTAAATAGACTAAAAATTCTTTTTCATATTTTAGTGACTAATTAGTAGATATTTATAATTTTATTGATTAAAATAACCAATTCCTAATCATTTTAAGGATTAATTATTTTTCATAATTTTAGAGACTTAATTAATATATTTATACAATTTTAAAGATAACATGATATATAATTTAGAATAAAATGAAATACGAAATTATAAGTAAATAAAAAAGAAAGAAACAGAAAACCTATCAAAGAAATTTCCTTACAATAGCAATAATTATTTAGGAAAGTTATGCTTAAAAAACTTAAAAGAATGCAAAAAGTTGAAGGAAAAACTCTCTTAATGCTTTGCTAAAATGCTTGATTTAGTTTTTCAAAGTTATATGTGTCATTTTTTTTCCGTTAAACATCACCATTTTATCAAGAATAAATTTAAAATACAAGAAGTCAAGAAAATTAACAAAATATGTTAAAAGATCATTAATTCAATTCACATATACAATTGATTTTCTCAAAAGTCTTGCTGCAAGCTACTTGCAAAAAAGATATTTAATAAAATCAAATATTTTATTAGCATTTAAAACATTATTGTTGAAAAAAATATTATTATACTCAAGTTAAATTGTTCATATTACTACAAATCATATCATTATAACTCTGCTGCATTTTTCTTTTTTACATTATATTTTATATGTACTTAGAATGTTTATTACAAATTTTTAAATAAATATAAACTAAAACCAAACCATTCAAATACTATGTAACACAGTTTTCACATAAATACTGTATGTGTCATACGTATATGTATATGTTAATTCTTTAACAAAATCTTATTAAAATAATTTTAAAATGTTTATATTATATCATTAACCTTTTTTAAAAAAATTCACTGAAAAAATATTTTAAATATTCAAAATATCACTGTACTTATCTTTGCAAAAGATAAATTATGATAAATTAAATCATAAAAAAATTAGCTATAATTTTGAAGAAAAAAAACTATGAAAATAATACATGTAAATTCAGAGAAGACAAATTAATCTTTTTCTATATTTTACTATAAAAATTTATAAAATGTGTAAAGAGAGATGTAAATATATGACTACACATTACCAACTAATTATTAGTAGTAAGAAAAATAATATTCAAATATTATAACTTAACATACTTGTAATGCGACTTGAATTAGCAAAATGCACTTAAATGTTATAAGTTTCATTATTTTAACTATTTAAAATTGACGTTATTATTATTATTATATAAAATAAAAAGAAAAAGAAAAAATATAATACATCTAACATATTTCAAATGTCATTACTTGATAATCATGTATATTTTAATAATTGTTTTGATGTTGTACTAGTCGATACACCCATTACGTGATAAAAACTACTCACATTATTTTAATAAATAAATTATAAAATTTCATATGTTAAACTGCCTAATTTCTTCCTACACGCGATAGTGGACTATAAATAATAACATACGAAGCTAAGTAAAGGTTTTTTTTTATATAAATTTTTTAATATATTTTTAAAAATAAATTATTAAAATAATATTATTTTAAAATTAATTTTTCGTCTAGAGCATTTTTCTACGTTATTACTAGTTTTGCACATTGTATATGCAAGACTCTTCTTTTAAATAATTTTGTATATTAAAAAGATAAAACTTTAAACTGATGACATGAATAAAAAATTTTAACAAATTTTGTTTGCAGACGTCTCATATCATATCATCTAATAGTCATCGATTTTAATGTGAAATAATTTTTAAAATTTATTTTTATTTTAATTTATATTATAATAAATGATTAATTATAATTATTAAATAAGCATAATTTTTTATGTTTGTATTTATTATATATATTTAATAAATTAATCAAACCCCATGCTTTTAGGTTAAAAAATCTTTTTTTTAAAAGGATAAAAAATTACAGAATTTTTTTTTTCTAATTATAATTATAGATGGTCAAACTTATTGATAATCGTAAATGTGATTATTTAAAATAATGTGTCATTGTGTTAGTATTTTAAAATATTTGATAATTAAATTAGTCTTTTATCATAAATTAATATTTTAAATATCTAAAATGTTATTATACTCAATTTTATGAAACAAAAAATAATGATAAGAAATATTTTAAAGAATTAATTTTGAGAAAGACTAACTTATTGATCATTTATTTTCTTAGGACTAAATTTTGACAAAAAAAAATTTAAACGAATAAATGATGATAAAAAAATTATAGAACTAAATTAGATATCAAAGGTTTTTTTTTTTTTCAAGTTTCAATATAAAACGTTTTAAAATGTGTAGAGAGGGATTTAAACCCGAGTCCAAGGCATTTTTTACGTATAATTACCATTTACCAAACACCTAATAATTAATTATAAATACTAAAAGAACATTATTTAAAAACACGTAAACGCTATCACACATTTTTTTTCCACAAAAGTATTTAAATAATTTATAAAATTATATTTATGTGTGAAACTGTTTTTGTTTTCTATACGCGTTAGCGAATTAGATGAATAATAACATATGAAGCCAAAGCCTTTCACAAATGTTTATTTAAAGGATGGGTAGGACCATTTTGTGTTGTACAAGGAACCAAGCCTCTGTTTCCTTAGTCTGTTTGTTCCTGGCAATTCAATTGGCACAGTAACATCATCTTGTGCAAAACTGAAACAATTGCAGTTAGTGGAGGTTTTCTAGTTGAGTGTGCCTTCATTTGTTCAGTTCAGAACAAGTTGATCTCGCTGAAATTTGTGATTTTGATCATCTGGGTTGTTTTGTGAAGTCTTGAAAAGCATAAAAAAAAAAGTTATGGCAGATTTGTTCAGTGGAGGTGCTGTTGGAGCTGCACTACAAGGGGTGCTGGAATATGCTATTCAAACCATAGACAAAGGTCGAGATTTCAAGCCTACCCTGACAAAGAACATGGATACCTTGGATGCTTTGACTCCACTGGTTGAAGAGATCAAACGGTATAGCAATGAATTGGATCACCCCAAACACGAAGTAGAAAGGTTGGAGAAAGAACTAAGAGCAGGTAAAGAGCTTGTGAACAAGTGCTCCAAATTTCGGTGGTGGAGGTTTCTTTCATTCCCTCAGAACCGTGACAAGCTTGTAGAGAAGGACCAGAAGCTTGTGAGGCATTTATCTGTGGATATACAAGCCCAGATAGCAAGAGATTTGATGGAGACTTTGTCCAAGGTGAGACAGATTCTGGATATTCTTGTGAGGGAATGTGGTGTGGTGGGAAATCATGGAGAGAGGGAACTGTTGAGGGGTTTAAGTGGTGCTCCTGAGAATCCTGAATTTACTGTGGGGTTGGATGAGCCTTTGAAGAAGTTGAAGATTGAGCTTCTCAAAGATGGTGCTGTGTCTGTGCTGTTGTTGACCGGTTTAGGGGGATCTGGAAAGAGCACATTGGCCAAGAAACTATGTTGGGACGACCAAGTCCAAGGTATGTTGCCCCAGAACACTCTTCTTTTTTCCCTTTAATGGTAGGATTCCATAGTTGTTATTCCTTTTCATAATCATTTCTAATTCATTATATTTCCTTTATAATTATTAGCATATAACAGAGCTTGTAACATATAGTAGTATCCAAGCATATGGAAGTTTTAGTAGGGAAATCTAAAAAAGAAGTAGCAAAACTTAAGCTTAATGATGCTTATTCTTTTCCCCCTCCGTTTCATCATTTGAGACATCCTAAATGCAAATCTTTAAGCCATTTTTTTTTCTTTACAGAAGAGATATAGAACATAGTGTGATGATGGAAGTGGTAGGTTCTAGTTGCCATGTTTTCAGTGAAATAAAGTCAGCTACACCTGTTATGAGATCTTTGTTTTTCATGGCCAACAAACTCTTTGGGGATTGAAAGCACGAATAGAACATATGATTTATCTAAAATTTTACTTTGTAGTCTAGTGAAATGATACTTGCTCATATATGGCATGAATTTTGGTGTAGTACCAACCCTCAAACGCTTCTTGATTTAGAAAGTTTGGTTTGATTAGACAAGTTCGGTGGGAACATCTTCTTTGTGACCGTCTCAAAAACACCCAACTTGAAGACCATTGTACAGACTTTATTTGAGCACTGCGGACCTCGGGTGCCAGAGTTTCAAAGTGATGAAGATGCAATTAACCGTTTAGGACTTTTGCTGAGGCGAGTTGGGGTAGGTGAAAGGCCAATATTGTTGGTCTTGGATGATGTTTGGCCTGGCTCAGAAGGACTTATTGAAAAGTTTAAATTCCAGATATCAAATTATAAGATTTTGGTTACTTCAAGAGTTGCATTTCCAAGATTTGGCAACCCATGCCACTTGAAGCCACTCGATCATGATGATGCAGTATCCCTTTTCCATCACTTTGCTCAATTGAAATGCACTGGCTCATACAGGCCTCATGAAAACCTTGTCCAAGAGGTTCTTTCTCTCATCTTGTAATACATAATAATTAAGAACATACTTATTGGGTACTGCTAATTTGTAGCCTTAAAGCACTAGTTAAGGAATCAATAAATAGTAAGTCTTTATTAGAAATCACATTGGGATATATTGAAAATCATGATAAGAGTGCATTGTTATACTTTCTAATAACAACCATATAACTTTCGATTTCTTTACTAAGTGTAGTTAAGGACCTGGTTAGCACTTGTCATACTTATTTTTATATATGTTCTCCTAGTTCTCCAAAATCTTTCACACAATTGGGACATGATTGAATGTGAGAAGTGAAAACTTTTACGTTTGTCAAATTGTAAAATTGAATAAAGAAGATTGTTACTTATCGTTCCTCATACCAATAAGTTGACTACAATCCTTGCAATCTTGTTAGACTGAGACCATTATCATATGCGATACTGATTTTACATACTTGCACTGAAATACAGATAGTGAGAGAATGTAAAGGTTCACCTTTGGCTCTTGAAGTCATTGGCGGAGCACTTTGTAAGCAGCCTTTTGTGATGTGGCAAATAATGAAGGAACGGTTGAAAAGTCAGTCCATTCTTAAGTCAAATAATGACTTACTTAATCGCCTCCAGAATTGCTTAGACATATTGGAAGATGAGTCCTCTATCAAGGAGAAGGAGTGTTTCATGGACTTGGGGCTATTTCCTGAAGATCAAAGGATCCATGTTCCTGCCCTGATTGACATGTGGGCTGAACTGTATGAACCAGATGATGATGGAAACAGAGCAATGAACATCATCCATAATTTAACCAACAAGAATTTGGTTAATCTCATAGTTACAAGGTACATTAAAGCTTTTATGTTTCCTGTCTTGTTATCCATCCAATGCGCTAGAAAGCCAAAATATTTTCTTAAGATAACATGATTTATAACTTTTTTAATTTATATGTATGCTTATGGTAACATGATTAATAACAAACTTTTAAGATTTTTAATTTTACAAGAATCTGCACTGGAGTTTATTGGTTCATAAATTATGGATCACTTTAGGATAGATGTAATGTTAAATGCATTCCTTCATGAGATTTAAGATATCAAATTGTTAATTGTACTTTTCAGTCAAATGGATCTATTAAAAGCAACCGTGAGTTTAGTAGCATATGTATCTGTTATTTTTCAGCATGTCAATGTGGAGGCAAAGAAGTGAAGAAACATAAACTAGAATATATAATAGAATTTATAAATGTTATGGATCTTTAAAAGGGTTTAGGCACTTCCCTGGCTAAACCAATTTGTGCTTGTTGACCAGGAAAGTTGCACTTGACACAGATTTGTACTGCAATAATCACTTCCTCATGCAGCATGATCTCCTTAGAGAGCTAGCAATCCATCTAAGCAGCCAAGAACCATTTGAACAAAGGGAAAGACTGATGATTGAGTTGAGTGGAAATAATCGTCCTGAATGGTGGGTTGGACAGAAAGAGCAGGGTATCATTTCCCGTCTATTGTCTTTATTCTTTCCCATAAGGTGGATGGAGCAGAAGCAGAAACAAGTGGTTGCCGGCACATTATCTATTTCAACCGGTTTGTCTTGTCTATCTCTTTCTACTTTTTTTTTTGTTTTGTTAACATTAACTCTTAAGGTTGAGTTTAAGCCTCTAGTAAATATATAGTAGATTTTTGTTAAGATGTATTTGTTATATTTTTGTATCTTTAAAGTAATATTATATTCTTAAACTCAACCGTAAGGGTTGAAATAAAAAGAGAGGATGGTGCCCTCGTCTCAGGCAAGTAAAGCCTTTAGACTCGAAGAGCACTTACATTTACTTCATCCCAAAAACACGATTGGGGCTGTGAACCTGCAACATAATAGATGCAAGACTCTATCTTACTTTACTTGACCAACTCCTTGGGGTTGTATCTCTCTTTCGGTGTCTAAATTGTATGCCTACAAACATAGACAAATGGAAAAAGTGACTTCTCTATTTGTGGCATTTGTCTTCTTTCATTCTTGATGGTATAAGTGATTCTTTTGCAGATGAAACATTCAATTCAGAATGGTGCAACCTGCAAGCAGATGAAGCTGAGGTTCTGATTTTAAACATTCGATCTGGCAAGTACTCATTGCCAGGGTTCACTGACAAAATGAGTAAACTCAAAGTTTTGATAGTCACAAATTACGGTTTCCATCCATCTGAACTAAACAAATTTGAGTTACTTGGTTATTTACCTTGCTTGAAAAGAATAAGGTTGAAGAAGGTTTCAGTGTCATGCTTATGTAAAATGAGAAGCCTGAAAAAGCTATCCCTTTATATGTGTAACACAAGGGCAGCTTTTAATAGCAGTTCCATCCAAATCTCTGATGCATTGCCCAATCTAGAGGAGTTGAACATTGACTATTGCAATGATCTGGTGGAATTACCATCTGAGCTATGTAAAATTGCCACCTTGAAGAAGCTTAGCATTACAAGTTGTCACAAGCTTTCGACACTTCCCCAAGAAATTGGAAAACTTGAGAATTTGGAAGTGCTTAGGCTTAGTTCCTGTTCTGCTTTGCAAGAGATGCCAAAATCTGTTGGAAAACTCCATAAGCTATGTTGTCTTGACATCTCAGACTGTGTAAGCCTTATGCGATTACCAGAGGACATTGGTGACTTGCATAGTCTTGAAAGGATTTATATTTGGGGTTGCACGAGGTTGAATGAAGTTCCATATTCGGTCATGAACTTTGGGGATTCAAAGCATGTAATATGTGTTGTCTGTGATGAAGAGGGGGCTGCTCTATGGGGACATTTCTCTAACCTTTCCAATCTGAAGATAGAAGTGTGTAAAGCTGATATTAGCTTAGATTGGCTTCCTGGAGTTCGTTCTTGAGTTGAGACTAGTTTCTTGATGCTGCTAAAGTGGCTTTGGAGTAATGTGAAGTTGAGACATCATTCTCCTTGTGTGTTTTACCATTTTCCATCATGTTTCAATGTAAAAGAAATGTAATGTTCTTCTACTATTTTAGCCTACAAATCTTTCTACTCATGTAAAAGTAACACACGTCATCAAAAGTAAGAAAAAGATTAAAAAATGATATTTTTCAGAAGACGCATGTCATTTAGTTTTTGTAAGTAGGAGAATTGCAAGCTGCAATAGTAGGATATAACGTTTTTCTTCCATGTAAATGTCTCGTAAGAAGTAGGAATAGATTATGTTAATGCAATTCACCAATGTGACTTGAAGGAGGGAGGACATTTTCCGTGTTGTTTTAATATTTGTACCTATTTTCTCTTTGAGAATGTTAACAAATAACATGTTCTTAGACAGTTAAATTTATTATTTTGTAAAATCACATATTGGCTCTAAAACAACTAGGATCCACTCTATATTGGTCAGTGTGAGAGTTCATTCAATTATGAAGAACATCAAAAAAAGGGAATGTTTTTCACAGTTCCATTTCTCATTTATTTAAAAATAGGATCACAAAGTGCGGTAAATGACTGTCAGATGCCTTTATTAATTTCGACAAGGATTCCACAAGTCTTCTCATCCTCCCTCTCTGAACAAATGCATGTTGTGCTAAACGCCAAGCCAGGCAAGGATGATAGAGTGGAGTTATCAAGGGGATATTCTCGCTATATTTTCAAGGTCAATATCTATTTTCGATTGCAACTATGCTTAGAGAATGTGGGAAGGAATCTCTACAAGAATTAAAGTGCCATAATTTCTTATTAAGATGTAATATTATTCTCCTATTATTAAAAAAAACGTTTGTAACATTCTTTCAAACACACTACTTATTATTGACTAAAATTTATTAAAAATATAAAAATTTATCAAAATCTCATTTCTAATTTAATAAGTCCCTCCCATATTTTTGTAATTTTAATAAATTTTAACTAATAATTAAAAGAGTATTAAAACAATGTATTAAGAATGTGTTTTTATCATTCATTTTATATATAAGATGGTGAAGTTTAAAAAATTGTGACTTCGTGAACAAATACCAATCAATGATGATAAAATTACAGAGAAATAAAAGTGTGAGATTGTGTAATAAACTTTAAAATGATTCCAGAAGTATATGAAACCTATAGTATTTTGTATTTATTTTTGTCTTAAATTGAAATATAAAAATTATTAGAGTAAATCATATCTCATTATCTAAAGATTTGTTTAAAAGAAACAAATTCCAAGCTAATTCTAAATTACACTTCGCAATATGTCATAATATATTACTATCTGTTGACTTAATATTCAACTCCTTCAAAAAGATTTAAATAAGTAACGGTATGTAATTTTAAGTACTGAACTGATTATTATAACAAAAAATTTTAGATTACAAAATCAAGTTAGATTTTTATAAAATTAAAATAGTAGAATGACAAATATTACAAATTGTCTTATAATTTACATACGTATTTATTCCAGTGTAAATAAAATTGTTATCACATATGTTTATAATGAGACAAAAACCATTTTATACAGTTGTTTGATTTCTTTAATCGAGTCTTTTATTTCAGTCATTAATCATAGCCAAGTTCATGCTTAATATTTTGCCCATGACACAATTTCATGTGTTGTTGCAGATAAATATGATAACAGGAAAAAAAAATTCCTATTACGGGTATCAAATTTAGGTTATATGCAACTATGTATATAACCAATTATGTTGTATAATTTAAACATCACAAAATGATAAACGAAAAGAGAATTTTAACAAGTCACAATTTTTTAGCATAAAACATTAAAATTATTCTGCCGGTCTCATTTGAAAAAATAATAATAATTACTTTCTAGATATAAAAATGACAAACAATTTAAGACAAGAATATGTTCAAGTAACAACTAATATGAGACACAGGACAGGAGTACATAACTTAGTCCAACGAAGAGAAAAAGACCCGCATTACTCAATGAATTTGAGCATTCTTTAGAAAAAGCACCCTCATTATTCTAAACAGGATTAGTATTGCACACCCAAATGCTAAAGGATACGCCAGCGTACACCACAAAATATCTTATCCCACCATGCAAGGATACTATGTATTTCCGTAGCTTTTAAAAGCTTTTAAAAACAGAGACGGCAAATCACCATAAGCTCAAGAAATAAAACTCCAAAGCCCTCCATTCAAAATCTTTTTTGTGTGCACAGAAAATATCGCTAATAACTAAACACTAATCCCTTTCGAGACAGATTCAAAATTACAACTGAACAAATGTTTGATAATTGTATTTATGACTCCCATCTAAAATTGTATTAATAACTAGATGAATAGCATTCTATGCAAAGAGGTGCAGCCATGTGCAAACGGAAAGGTGGAAAGAGGGAAGTGGTATACAGGAAAATAAAATCTGCCAAATCAGAGGATACACATAAACACAAACTAAATACATAAACTAGCAAATGTGACTAGTATGTCTAATGAAAATGAACTGTTTACATGAAGTATGTGTATATAAGCAGGGGCATGAAACATAATTCACCTAACTGCTAATTTTACTAGCCAGGAAACAACGAGAAGGCTAATGTAAATATAATATATATAAAGCAAGTATTCACCAAGGTAGTAAGGGAAGGATAACAATCATTTCTTCCCTCAGCCACCAACCCTTCTAGACTGTTTGAAACATGTTATCCCTCAGAAAAGTGATACTGAACACTGTTAAATGGTGCAGACGTTGGAACCTCCAAGTATGCAAACATACATAAATTAACATGAACTTTGTATTATCCATGCTAATCTACAGAAAAAGTGGGCACAACATATTTCATTTTCCTTGATGCTGAAAATGCCAAGCCCAATATTAAGATGCTCTCCACTTAATATGCAGTCTTTCAAGTGTAGCTGATGATCAAACTATATGGCATACACTATCTCCCCACTGCTATCTATATCAAGCTCAGATTCAGATTCTAATTCATCAATGTAATCATCCATATCAATGTTTTCAACCATGAACTGATCTAAAGAATAGGTCCCAGCTGCTGGTATGGTAGCCTCTGAAATTATCTGCATGATCGTATCAAGGCTCTGCATGGGTTGGTCTGGCTCTTCAAATTGATTACCCATTATCTTTTCATCCATTAGGTCAGCAGGGAGATTCTTCAAAAACCATTCATGGTTCCAGATTTCAGACATTGTGATTCTCTGTCACACAAATGTCCAAAGACAGATTTAAACTAACAATTTTAACCACCAAGACTTGAAATTAAATTCTGATATTGTACAGTCAATAGGCCCAACCAATTCACAAAATGCATTCAACATTTTGCCCTCTTTTCTGTTATAACACACTTAAATTTAATAGCCTACTATATATACCTATATTATATAGACATACATACAACCACATAGGACCTATATAAAATGTAAAAGTAATATATTAAAATAAATTGAATATAACTTCCTTAGATAAGAAAAATGCCCAACAATTATGTCAAAAATCACTCGGATTCTTAAAATCCATTTTAAGGGACATAAGACATATTGCTTAAGCTTGCAAATAGTAGTGAGAGAAAAATAATTTCCAACAAGACATTCAAGTGGTAGTACACAATATTAAAAATGATTCCGAGAACAAAATAACTTGGACTGTGTAGTGTGATGTCAACTGAATGCATTGCTGTTAGCGGTAGGTTAGTAATTTGAAATAGAAATTACCTCTGCTGGGTCAAAAACAAAGATCCTTGAGATAAGGTGACGACACTCAGGAGATATTTGAACAAAGTCTGGGATGGAATACTGGACACTAAGAATTCTCTGCAAGGATGAAACAACAAGGATGTTGTTCTCAAGCCAATAAGACACTACTCACTAAGAAAATGTGTAAATATTTAAAGATCTACCTGAATTGTCTTTCGGAAGTCCTTAGGTTCATTGGGATCTTCAAAAGGATATGCTCCCACTAGCATCACATATAAGGTTACTCCACATGACCAGACATCTGCAATCTAATATTAAATGCACAAAAAAATACAGGAACCCATTAAGATACCCAACATTTATAATGAGATAAAGTTTAATACTGAAATGTGAAATGTTTGATGCCATCAACGGACAGTGAAATTCTGCAATTAATAAGATATGGACAGTGATGATAAAAAATACGTCAGCAAAGCTTGAAAGTGGACATTCAGTAACATTTGTTAAGGTTTCAATCACAAATTAAATAAAAAAAGACAAAATGAATGAGTATGAAAGAGAAAAGGGTGAAAGAAGCAAGTTGGAAGGTAGTTATCTCAACTAGTTTGATTATTTAATTGTATTTAGAACTTCATAACTTTCATTGATATACCAAACCAAAAAACAATAATGCTAAAATAAGAGCCCTTTTACATACTCTTAAATTGGAGAGAAATGGAGAGAAGAGGAAGGAAGAATGAGTGGGCAAAAATGCCCCCCTCCCCCATCCACTTTTTGTTTTGAACAAAACAATTCATTCAGATCTTTCACCGCACAAAATGATAAAGAGTGTAAATTACTTCACATTTTCTTAACTAACAATCTAAAAAATATAAAACAATATTTTAAACTGTTAAGTAACTAGAAAGTAACAGATATAAGGAGGTACATAAGGATGGGAGAAATTTTAAACATCATAAGATAAGACATAATCCAGCTATCGTACAACATATAAAATTGGCATACAACACAAAACTTAAATCAAGATTAAATTAATATTTTCAAAATCAGAATGAATCTGCCTAAACATAACAAAAAACAACTATAATTTATGCAATTATTGTGATATATAAAAAGTTTAGAAGTGAAAAAAGTAGTATAAAACAGTTAGGGGCATTTGAAGTATCAGTGAAGTGTCCAATATGGACACAGGCACAACATGAATATGACTATTTTTTCAGTGTCTGCATTTTCCTTGTCAAGTAAATAGTTTCAACTTGTGGCGCAAAGACCTTAATTATGAGCCACAAACACTTCACAGTTTTTTCTTTTTAATGCATCTATATGGGAAACATAGACACAAGCAGAAGCAGGCTCAATTTTTTTAAAAGAAAAGGAAATATCAGAATGCTAATGTTCATCATAAGTTCAAATTTGCCTCCTTCTCAAGTTGATTACCCCATCAGTGACTTGATAATTGATGAAACCTTAGTCTTTTAATCAGTCATAGCTATACATGTGGAGATGACAACCAGAAAAATAAGACGACCTTCATTCGGAACGCAGATCAAAATGACCATTGTATTGGGTGAAAACAGAGTGACCAAATAAAATATCATTGTTTTAGTCCTTTATAGAATGAAAAGGTCAAGAATTTACCAGCTCATAAATGATGACAAGTTAACACTTAAAAAACTCTTCATTTAATTGTGACAGTAATAGGTCTACAGAAAAAGAACATCACAATGAAACTAATCACTCTACCTTGCCATCATACTCTTGTTTCAGCAATACTTCTGGAGCAATATAAGCAGGAGTTCCAACAGTTGACTTTGGTTGCGAATGAAGCACTGAAGACTGTAAATCACAATACCAATCAGAATTGTGAGATGAAACAATGAAAAAAAAATAAAAATAAAACAAAAACAACTAGAATACAATGATCATCTATAATTGGTAAATCCACTGTTATAGAAGAAAAATGTTTAGCTGCTTACATGTCAGAAGGAAATGGAATCAATGAAATAAAAGGATAACAGCAAAATCCAAGACACTCAATGTGAATTTTAATACCAATGTACCATAAAACACAAGCACAGATACAAGTTAGCTTGACAACAGCAAAAAGGTGCAATGACCAACTTATCAGTTTTCTTAAAAACACCAAGAAACATGTCATAGTTTTTCCCTTTTTATGCATCTATATGGGAAATAGACACAAGTAGATGGGGGCTCAAAATTTGGAACAGAAAGAGGATAGCCAATGCACATCAGAAGTTCAAAGCCTCCTCGACTGGATTACCTATGAACAGTCATGCAGAATTTCCTATTCCAATATCACAATTTACTGAAATCATCTTTTAGTAACTTAGGGAGCTACTCAATTCCATTATCACAGTATAAATCTGAAGAACAAAAGTGACTCAAGAAAATGCAGACAAAGAGAAGCATAAAGTAATTGGAGTTAAATATTACTCAACCTAACAAGTCCAGTAAAATATGAAAGCATGAAACTCACACCATGGAGAGCGAGTGAGATTAAAAACTTTACCTTGGAGTACCCAAAGTCACATATTTTCAACCGAGGTGCTGGGCTGCCATCCAGTAAAGTGTTTTCCAACTTCAAGTCCCGGTGGCATACTTGCTTCATGAAGAGACATTACAAAGAAAACTTATACATCACGCATAATGTTCAGAAGACTGATACATTGCCTATACCACACTCCAGTCTAGCATAAACACAATTTAGATAGGACAGTGGAGAAGGGGTAAAAAATTTAATTACCATAGCATGGCAATAGCTGACCCCAGATATGAGTTGTTGAAAGAAGAAACGAGCCTGAATCATGTCAATGGATTACAAAGTTACATAAGGAACAGAATAGAAGTACAAATTTATTCTCGGTGAATGATCAGGTGTAGAAAAAGTAAACAAATAAAATAAGAACCTCATCCTCAGTAAAACGCCCAGCATTGCAGATTCGCTCAAAGAGTTCTCCTCCAGATGCATATTCCATCACAATGGCCAGATGGGTAGGTGTTAAAATGACCTAATTAAAATATTATAGAACATTACAGATAAATGAGATTACCCCAGGCTTCTCTGTATAGATACAATGTAGAAAATAAAAAATATTAAAATACACTAACCTCCTTAAACCTAACAATGTTAGGATGTCTCAGAGACCTGTGATTAATGATTTCTCTCTTCACATTTTCATCAATCTGTGACACAATAAAATGATAGAAAAAAGACAGACAGCCCAGCAACATATCAGTAAGAATTTGAAGTTAACAGATTTTAAAATGACAAGATTATTGCACAATAAAGTTTCAATTCAGAAATCACAGTTCATTTTGACTTGGAAGTTGGGACACCAAAATTTTCTTTGTTTCACAATTCGATTGGGAATCTCTAAACCTAAAATCCAACTAAACTACACTCTGCCAATCACCAACCGAAAGGTTTGACTTTTGGAGGGGAAAAAAAAAAAAAAAAACAAACAAACAAACCAATCCTTATCCAACTTTCACTTTGCCCCACCCTAAACCTCCCCATCACCAGAACAAGGACCAATTTCTCACATCCCAAAACAAGAAGCCACATATTAAGCCACCTTAGTTCAATAAGCACAATCACTGATCCCATATCATACAGTCCCATCCCCTCACAAATCAAGCTCACATATCGCTAAATACCATCTCAAATTTGATGATTATGTATGATTCTGTCAATTGCCAAGCGATAATCAATGCTATAAAGAGAAATCATAAAAAGAAAATCACAAAAAAACAGGCAGTGAAACAAATACGGAAACACGAAACAAGGCAAAAATAGCATGATACGTCAGCAACAACCAAAGACGCACACAACAATTAAAGTAAAAACAATCATGTGATCAAATTTTCTTTCCATTCCCTTTTCTGCCCCAAAACCGTGTAAAAGAAATATTTTCCAAAATAAGGGCCAACAGAAAGAACCTCACAACAAAAACAAAATAATAATAATAATAATTCACTTTTTTTTTTCTTTCATTCATGGAACAGAACCTTATCACCCCGTTCGATATACTTGACGGCAACGAGCTCCTTAGTTTGCTTATCCTGCATCAACCTCGCAACACCGAAATTCCCGGAACCGATATCGCGAACCAGATCGTAACGGTCGCTATCGTGCATGATTGGCAAGTCCATACCCGGTCCAACCGTCAACGCTGCCCGATCCATCACAGAATAAACCGAACCGGAGAAAAAACCCAACAAGGATGATAGCAGAGAACCTTCAGTTATTTAAACGGCGATTACTTTACAGAACCTGATACGGCATCGTTTGGAGTTGAGTTGAAAACGAGGAGGATCGGTGATAGAGTGGTGTGAGGGAATCGGGTTGCGAGAGAAGACTTTGTGAGAAATGGCGTGTGCGATGGTTTGTTGGTGAGGGAAAGAGAATAGAATAGATAAAATATAGTGGATTGGGTTGGAACGGAAGCAACTGCAAATTGGTGGAACCAACCAGACGTGAAACGGTGCCGTTTTAGCCTCTGTGCCCGAGATGACGCAGCTTGTGCTCGTTGCCTCGTAAGCAATGTTGTCGCCTTTCTCTTTTTCATTCTCTCTCACCTCACTCCCTCAATTCACTGCTTTTTTTATTATTTTTCTCTCAACTTTGTTTTATGATATTTTTTTTAACTCACAAATATCGTGGTTAGTCTTTCTTGGGACTAGTAGTTTCTATTTGATCCAATCCATTCGGTCAACCATATTGCAATTTTTCTATATTTGTACTTTTTTAAACAGTTTGACGGTAAAGAAAAAGTATGGATCGGTGTTTTTAGTTTTTTGTTTAATAACCTTAGTTGTTGTGAAAGAAAATTACATACAAACACTTGTTTTAAACTTTGTTTAGTTAGGAAAAATTATTAAATTTAAAACACTTTAAAATATTATATTTTATAATTTGAATATAATAAATATATTATTTTCAACAAAATTTTACTGTTTAATTTGAGAGGAAACAAGACCCTATATAAAATAAATGGGGTGATTAGATGGGGTTGGGTGTGTGTTACTGTCAAGGAACAGGAACAGGCACTTGAGGCTTTTGGCTTGGAATGACCTATAAAAGAAAAAGGCTTTTGGCTTCTAAGAGAAAGGTGAAAGGACGGTCCCCCACTTGAAGTAGAGAATCAGGGATTGGATTGAAAATGGAGTTTAATGGTGATTGGTCAACGTGGAAGAGCTATGGAGTGGTGGAGTGAAGCTTGGGGTGATGAAGATTAGGTGTGGGGATCAAACGGTGAGTGTTGATTAATCATGATTTATAGATAGATACAGATATGGCAAAGGGAAAAGAAAAGAGAAATTTGGTAGGGGATGATGTGGTCAAATGAAGATGAGAATGTCTTTAATGTGCGGCAAGGAAAGTCATTTTCGGTCCACTGACAGAAAAAAGGCTTGAAATGCAAAGCAAGAAAAGATTGGAAACCCTTGAAGGGGTAATTATAATGCTACACTCATGCTAATTCCCCCCCTAAAAAGGAAACAAGCCTGTTGGCGGCTATTCAGGGACATTCATCGCCTATTAAATATCTTCTGCACCTTTTCATTTAGTTTGGTCAAGATTTCAATTCTTAACTCCTCCATCTACAATACTTTATACTCCCACACTGCTATAAAACTTTACATTATTTCCTTCATACCAATGCAATCCAAAGTTCTATGCAAGTCCCTGTAAGAATATACAAAATCTTTTCATCAGCATTCAAATTAGACAACCAAATGTATGTTTAAATAACATAACTGTAAATATATTATTGTCAAAAATCAATACAATATTATATTTATTTTTTATTATTAATTTTTTATATTTATATAATGCTGCGTGTAAGTAAATTTTTATTTATGTCTTTTAATCATACAATGTTTCTTTTTTAACATCATTTTTACATAAAAAAAATATTTTAACCTAATAACTAAGGTTATTAAATAATTAACAATAACGCACAAATAATTAAATAATTAAATAATCAAACATTACCATATTTTTTAATTTTACTTATTTTTATCAATTTATAATTAAATGATGAATTTGATTACAACATGCTTAGTAAGGTAAAATAAGTACTTCGACTGTCAAGATTTTTTTTCCTATTATTTAAAAAAACGACAATAAACAAACGACAAAAAAAAATAGAATTCCCCCTTCACCCACTTCACTCTTTCTCTGATACGATAAAACAGAAATTTAAATTGCTATTTACGGAAATATCCCTGAATTCACGTTTTTATTCGTGAAATCCTCGTTGTCACTTTTCTTTGTTAACACAAACACCTATCCTTGCAAGTGACTCACATTCCAGTACCTCTCTTTTCTGGGAAAAAACTACCGTGACTTATTATTATTATTTTTTTTAACATAGATAATTTTGAATAAATTTTTATAGTTAGAGATAATATTCTAAAGAGAAAAGAGTGTTATTTATTGGAGAAATTTTTTTTATTTACATTATTAAAATTTGCTCGCAACTATAATATAAGAAAAAATTAATCCTTAGTACATTTTAGTCAATTGAAAGCACTTTTTTAATAAAATTTTAAGTATTAATTTAATTTAAATATTTTCTTAAAATTTTATTTAGATTTTATACTAAGGAGAAGAGGAAAAGAGAAGAATTGGTGATCATTAACTCTTATTTAAAAGTTAATTAAACATAAACGGAAGAGTTAAAAGATTTTTCTAAATCTATTAGAATATTTTTAAGTTTTATGAAATTTTCTTATTTTAAAGATTTTAGTGACTCATGTTGAGATTTATCATTTATATTTATATTTGTTAAATTAAATATTTAGTATAGCCTAGAGTTATAATATCATGTTTTTAAAGTTAATTTTTTTAAAAGATTTTAAAAAATAGAAATAATTTTTTTTTAAAATATTAAGTTCTAAAGAGAGAAAATTTTATAAATAAAAAATATGAAAGATAATAATGTTATTTTCATGTTAAATCATTCATTATTTTTCTCTCTCGATATTAAATATACAAGGGATGGGTTTAACCCTCATTCTCCTCCCTTCTCAAGCCCTTTGAACTATTTCCTTTTCTCTCTCTCCCTAAGACTTAGATTTTATGTTAAGGAAGGGAAGAGAGAGTTTAGTAATCATTAGCCCTTATTTAGAAGTTAATTAAATATGAAGGGAAAGGTTAGAAGATTTTTCTAAACTCTCCAAAACCCTCTTAATCTTATTTTGTTGAGTTTTCTTATTTTGGAGGATTTTAGTGACTCATGTAGAGGAATTTATCATTTATATTTATATTTGTTAGATTAAATATTTAGCATGGTCTAGAGTTAAAAAAGTAAGAAAATAAAAAAAAAATTATTTTTTTCAAAAAATGTTAAATTTTAGAGTTATAATTTTTTAAATAATTATAAAATAGAAATACAAGTTTTGTATTTTTTGAAAAAAAAAATATATGAATTAAAAATATAAAATAAGTAATAATGTCATTTATGTATTAAACTTTTCATTACCTTTCCTTCTCAATGTTAAACATCAAAACAAAGGATGAATTTAACTCTCCTTCCCTTCTTTCTAAACTCCTAAACAAAGCATAAAGCTTTGTTGAATGTTGACAATATTCAAATTTGTTAGTCACTAGCTCTCTTGCAGTTCTAGAATAATTATGGTAGGTGATTTAGTGATTCTCTACTATTGTGAGTGAGTAATGATTATAGCGACTTATTTTTATAATTATTATTTATCATGTATTATTGTCTACAAATTATTTGCTTGAAAAAACAAGTCTCAAAATTATTTCTTGATCATATGAAAGTTTATTGGAGTATGAATTTTGTTAAATTATATGAATTTATTTGTAAAATGTGAAGGAAGTAACTATTTTAATTTTATTTGATAGTATTTAATTATGAGACATATGCATGGATATTTTTATTGTTGAAAATAATTTGATTTGCGCATGAGAACAATATCTACAATGTAAATATTTTTTAGAGAAGTTATGTTAAAACAGTGTAATTGTTAAGAAAAATAACAATTTAGGTATATCTAGTTATACTTTGTAATAAGAAAAGAGTTGCTTGTTAGATAGAGCTACCAATGTACAAATATAAATATCAACGAGTAAAATTGTCTTTGTTGAGATTAATTATGAATAATGTACACAAAAAGTGTATTACTTGTTAGATGGAGTTACCTATGGGAGAAACTACCCTTAGGAAAAAAGGGCTATTAATGAGATAGAGTTGTCTTGAACTTTAATCCTTCATGAGTGACTCTTATGCGTACTTTATTATAGTACTTGTGATTGATTGATATTTTTATTTAACAATATAAATTTGTAAACTTTTGATCATGACCAAACTTTTGAAAGAACAATTAGAATGAATTTCTTTTGAAATGGTATATTTTAAGTTCTATAATTGCGAACAACTTATGATTTTCCTTTCTTGTTCATTGTGTTATTAGACCCTCATTGAATTTGTGTGACTCAACCCTCCAATTTATTAACAGATAAACTCTCACTTTAATCCCTAAAATATATAATTTGACTAAAGTTAATTGTAACACCCTCAATTTTATTGCCTTTGTACCAGAGAAATAGGAATTTTGATGCAAGATTTCTCGCTCAAGCAAGATAAAATAAAGTTGTCCCAACTGTCCTCTCATCCAGGCAAGAAAGGGTCTTACTCAGGCAGAAAACAGCTCGCACGGACGAGATTGAGCTCACCTAAGCAAGGAGTTGCAAGAAAAATAAAGAGCTTTCTGGACCATTCTTGTCCAAGTAAGATGTTGCTTACTCAAGCGAGAATAGCAGAAAACTGAGTAGTTTTACTATCTGGTTTTCTCACCCAGGCAAAAGTTAGGCTTGCTTAAGCAAGAATTGGCTTGCTCAAGTAAGAACATGCAAGTTTGGAAGGGTATTTAAGGAATCTCAGACCTAAAAATATTTATTTCTCACCAAACAACCTTTTCTTTTCATTTTCTCTCTGTTCTCTCACCTTCTCTTCTTAAAGAAAACTCTTCCAAACCCTGAATCTCTTCCAAATCCAAGCTCAAATGTCTATTGTATTCAGATCCAAGTAAGTTTCTTAGAGTCTAGTTCTCCAACTTCATTCATATTTCTCAGTTTTCTCAAAGTTTTTCACTTTCTAATACTCAAGGAAACCTTAACTCTTAAGATGATATCATCCATCAGCACATTGTACCTCTCCATTCTCTAGGAAAACTCGGTCTGAGAGACCCATTTCTAGGTAAGCAGAGTTGATCCCAAATCCTAACCTTTTTTTGGTATCTTAGTTTGAAAATATTAATTTTTTTCTATTAGAACCCTAAAATCCTAATGTTTCCTTAAAATCTCAAGTGCAGGAATAGAGATTTTTGACATGAAAAACGCATAATTATTTTCAGAACTAGTTAAATACAAGTTATTGCAAAAGCTATAAACAAAACCATTTTTGAGAAATATTATGATTTTTCTAGTGAACA